TGTCCCAGGGTGCTAAGGCTTTGACCCATTATGATAGAACTGGTCTTTAAATCGTAGCTTCTAAGCATCAGTTTCAACCTGTTGTCTTGTGCCGACGCTAGATGCTTTGATCAACATTTTTCCCAACCAGCTCAGTCTGGCTTCACAAAGCAATAGACCGGGGTTGTTACTTACTAGCAAACAGCATACTGTTTGCTAAACGCTGAAGCCTAGACTTTGATCAGGACAACACGCTTTCTCCGGATGTGCGAACCTGAATTTCGATGTGCCGCGCAAAACTCCGTGAAGTTCATCCATGAGGCCTTGCCGCGTTGACTACAATGCTGAGCTTCCGATCCGGGAGCTCTGGCCGATGATTAGAATATTTTACCCGAAGCAAGGTGAATGCAAAACGGGTTGCCGCAAGGTTTTTGCTTGTTCTGCCACAGTCCGTATACGAATTTCGATGGTGACTCCCATGAACATCTACTAAGTCCGAATGAACATCTACTAAGTCCGAACAGAGGCAAGCTGGAACGGAGGAAGCAACAGCACACAAAACCTAGGTAAAAATCTGATAGCTATATATAGCTATGAACATCATCAAAGAGACCCAATGGCCCTAAGACACAAGACTACAACTACCTCTCGATAACGTGTTCAGGGCTTCCAACAGCGCCGACCCGAAAGTCAAGAAACCAAAAGAAACCCTATGTTTTCTGTCTGCTACTCGACTCTAAACTCTTCACCAACATGAAAGCAATTATCTAACGGGTCCCATTTCAAATATGGATCTCACCCTTAACACCAAACATTCCGAACTCCTGTGGCACTACCTGGACCCCAAAAGCATGTAGAAAAATCGCCGTTTTAGGCGCTGGTCCATTCGTTTACCTGCTTTTGCAATTCGGGGCCATGAAGCCTAAACGCAACATTCTTGGTCCCCGGCTGTGTGGCGGTACGATGTGGATGATCGAACCGTCCATGAGGGCCTGGATGATGATCCCGAAGACGAGGTTGTAGGTGACCTGAAGGACTTCTTTGTTTAGGGTTTAATTTAAAGTCTAGGGTTTAGAGATTCGGGCGTAGCGTTGAGGGTTGCGGGTTTGGGGTTTGACCGTGACGCATTTTCTTGGCATAGATAACTCTCTAGATTCTAGATCGGGGTCCGCTCGCCCAAAAGTAAGGCGGCAGGCTTACAACAATCAATAAGGACCCCTAGAAAGGGACCCGAATTTAAAGAAGCCGATTGAGCAGTTGCCTTACGAATGCTCATCCCTAAAACCCTGATGCACAAAAGGATTTCACCTTTCAGAAGTGGCGATATTCGCGGGGACCGAGTCATCAATGCACAGCGACGTGGAGACTGGTTAAGATTCGGGCAGCCTTTTCGGACTTCCTTGTGCTAAGGATCCAAAATACAACCAGTTCTAAACTCTAAACCCTCAACCCTGAATCGAAACCAAGTATCATATTAGGGACCCCCCGAGTTGCTGACTCTCCTACACCATACAGTATCTGCGATCTTGGAGGCGAAGGCGGAACATGCCAAGAACTTGCATTCATGCTCAAGCCATGGTATGAAGCAGAACGAGTACCTCACTGATCTTGCTCAGAAAAATTTTGCAGCGTAGGCCCCACACCCTCAGACCCAACCCCAACATCCCAATTACTTAAGCCAGTCATGCAAGCCGTAAGACTTAGAGCTTCTCAAGCCTTCTTGGGGCCTGAACCCTGAGCTCTAGGCTCACTACCAACATCCGATCGAAACAGTGATCCTGACACGTATCTCGACACTGAAGGCGAGATTTGGTGTTGCTACACATCCCCGAAGACCCTCCGACGCTAAACCTTAAATCCCAACGCCGCCAAAAGAACTCAACAAGCCATGAACTGAGGGCACAACCCATGTACCAAGTACCAAGCCGTATAAACCCGGAAGCTCTCAATCCTGAACCCAACGACCCAAAAAAAAATCGTCCGTGGGGCACGGGCCTGCACCTCTGGCACCCAATTCCGGGAATGACCCTCATCGCGTACGTTACTTTAGCACTATTTAGCACTCCTTTTTTGCCCTAAAACCTCACCACACCTGCCTTCACAAACATGTACACCCGGGTGGTCTGCGAAAAAAACCTTGGTGTCTAATGACCTGTCGTCGAAGCTGTTACTATAATACGTTTTGGTCACGGAAGTCATCAAGCTTATCCGCCGGAAAGTTCGGACCGAAGCCAATCCACCTCCCGCTGCAGAATTTCGATGGCAAGCTTGTTCTCGTAGTTCTCCTCAGACATCTAGTGTGAAGCCGGAACCGTCAGCGATCTTTCGGACAGCTGAGCCCGCCCTGAGCAATAACAACCCCGAGACCTGAATTTCGAGGCGCTGCACAAGATTCCATGAAGTTCATCCATGACTATATTGCTGAACTTGCGGTCCAGGAGCTCTGGCCGAAGTGCACAACAACAACATCATCTCGAGTGCTTCTGAAGTACTCAGCCGGAGTATGTGTCTTGTTCGAAACTGTTGCTACAATACGTTTTGGTCACGGAAGTCATCTAATGAACACTGTGCGCTTCTGTGTATGTAGGTCGTCTCGACATGGCGTCTAAAGGTTCCAATTCCACGAAAATGTAGCGTTTAACTTATAGCTTGAAACCAAATTTGCCGCTTTGCTTGTCCATCGAAGTGATGCGGTCAAGTCACCAGATCGCGAGAAAGCCGGAGCTGGCGCAAAGCACACAACTTTCGTTCCTCATCTCCTGCAACAGCATTACGAAACCACCTAGCAACTGGCACCAGATATGTCTGAAAGGATTTCATCCATCTGCGAGATCATGCTCAGATGCATCTGAACATGCTACTCAGTTTCGTGTCGCGAACCTCTGCGGTTTCGGCTCAAGGGCTAGGCGATCGAAGGCAAAGAAACCGCCACGAGCCACAGTTAGCAGCACAACCGATTCCCCACACTTTCATGCTCTTTCCTGGCAAGTTTCGGGCACTCGGGGCACTGGGGAACACCCGTGCAGAATCTCGAAATGCTCGGCTCCAGTAGCACTTGGCAGGCGAACCTGGCGTCCGGTAGTGTTCAGGGCTGTGAGGGATTCAGGGTTTATGGTTCGTTATCAGGGTTACAATTACAATGGGTTTATAATTCCTTAGGAGGTTATAAGGGTTACAAGCAGGAGGGCTGAGGGCTGAGGGTTGGGGGGATGGCGGGCTGATGACTCTGGAAGCTACGCTCAAGTCCAGATAAGCGACATGTCGACAAGCATGCTTCCCATAGCTGATTTAGTCAAGATCCCAAGTGTCGATGAAAGACCAACGATGGTTCGGCTTGATTGCGTTCGACCTAGCGGCAGGACTTCTAGCGTGTGTACTGACCTCAAGCAGAAGGTGAAGGATTCACCGGTGTACCTTCTCTTCAACGTCGCCTCACCCGAGCTGATCTTGAATCCTGGGCCTGCCTTGCACCTGCATAATATGATGCCGAGTCTCAACTCATCCTGTCGGTGCCGGCATGTCGGTAACTTACTGGCTTGACGATGTGGCCGATGAAAGGGGTAGCTTCTTGCGCCAGTGCGACAAAGTGCCCATGACTGCTCTCAGTGGAGGTGGACGAAGCCTTTCGCGGTTTCGGGCGCTGTGAACTGTCTTGCTGGCCTTGCACCTAACAACAAGTCAGGCTCGGAGGTGAGAACCACGGTATCCAGGGCAGGGTGATACTTGCCATGTGTCACAACGCTTTTTTCTTCAGTGTGCAGTACGACTCGAAGTCGTAAGTCATTCTTTCAGCACTTGGCGGGCCCAGTCTCGACCTTCAGCTCCGTGCTGTCAAACCGCAGATCGTATGAGAGGCGCACCATCCTTGCCCATGTATCCCATGATTTCTGTATCCTCTCGACCATCAAGACCCCACTGGCCTTGAACAGCCTGTGTCATCATGTCGTAACTTGGGAATGCCGCCGGTTTGCGAGTCGGCCAAGGCCCGCAGCTAAAACTCCAGCCGCCAGTTTCTGATATTGACCCAGTCGGAGCATGTGCAGCACGGCTTTCATCGCCCTGACACCCCGGAACCTCTGCAGAAACAAACAGGCAGAGCACCATAGCGTACGCCATGTGTTGCAGCTACGTCATGGGGAACTCAACTCGTTACACACCGCAAACCTGCTAGCATCGCAGCAGCCCTGATACTTGTAGTACTTACTTTCATGTAACGCCTCTATGCAGTATGAGCATGTTGAGTTCTGCTCTTGGAAGCTGGTAGATGCTGCGTGTCTTGTCTTAAGATGTAGGTCTCGACTGTGGAGAAATTCCACTGCGGTAACACGGGGTGCATTCATCACTCACATGGATTTGCAGACTGACGACGGGAACTGGCAGCCAGCTTGACCTCATATACCTTTCCCGGGCCTCGCCGGCATGGCTGGGCGGAAGTGCAGCAAGCTGAGCCTGACAGAGGACTGAGGACTGGCAGTTCCCCTTCACCGCCTTGACCGTCACCGTGCTGGGTGTCCGGGCCTGGAGTTTTGTGATGTCGCTGGCATCCGTAAAGGGGCACCTGAGTAAGGCACCAAAACTAAACACCCCTTGGTCCACAAATACGAGTATCTGAACCGGGAGAAGGACCCTTCCTTGAAGGCAGGGCAAGCCCCGATCGCATCAGATCGCTTCTCCTGTCGGACCCGCAACTCACGGCGCATTTGGCCTGGAGCCAACACGGCGGATGCTTAGGCAATGCGCCTTGATCCACTCCAGCATCTCGTCGTTCTTGCTGTAGGGGCAGCCATCTGCGAAAGCCGGGCAGCCGTCAGAGACGGCACCAGGAATCTGTAAGGCCGCAGTTTCTCCGTCGCCACCGCCCATGGCTGCACAGCGACGGTACTTTTTGTACACGCGCACCCGCTTCGACGGTGAGCCAAACAAGCGAAAACTGCCCTGTTACACAGGTTACTACAAACGTTCACCGTGACTCTCCGCCATGACTGCATCTTGAAGAAAGCCCTTGTTGAAAGCCAGGTCTCATGAGGATGTTGAGCTGGTTGCCTGCATGTCAACACGGCATCAGTGAGGAAACGATGCCACTGTGCCTCACGGGCTTTGGCTGCCCTAAGGCTGTGGCTCGACTCTGAAATCCGGGTCTGAAGCTCCTTCCAGGAAGTCTTGTCAACACCACGACTGTGCTCTCACTCGCATCTAAGGGCTGGCGCACGAGGAGCAGCCTGCTCCCACTGACGTTGTGGAAGCGACGGAAGCGACCAGTTGCCGAGCTTCATCTGGAGGTGCGAGCTCAGCCTGTGGCGGAGAACTTTTTTGGGATCTAATTCGTATGCCATACTTGTATCAAGAGAGACACTGCACAGTGGCCTTGTCTTCAAGCAATCGTGGAGGTTCTGCTCTGATGCGTGGAAGCGTTCCAGCCGCACAGGATCTGCATGGGACGTGCAGAAGCTGACTCCGACTCGCAGCCTCCGGCCTTGGGCCTTCCCTACACGAAACTACCAAAAAGAACACAATCCGAGAGGGAGAGGAAGTTCGAGGGAGTTCCGAGGGTTCCTGGCATGGCTTGTCCCAAGCTCTCGGTCGCGTGGAGCATCGCGGCCACAGAAGGCAAGCAACCTGGGCTTGCCAGGTCATGGCTGCGGTCTGTGGACTCTGACAAGTCTAAGCCTGTCAATGGGCTAATGCATATCAGTGCCTATGCCTACGCTACACCGGAAATGGGTTGGCATGTTGTGTGAAAGTATAAGAAAGAAGGACCAGGCCAGGTCGGGCTGTCTCAGCTGTGCTGCGTCGCAGAAAATCATCCGCTGTGTGTGACAGGTCCTGTTTCTGGCACTGGTGGCACACCCCCTACCCGCAACAACACTGCCTACGCAAACATGCTATCACCACTTCAACACTTCTGTGGCACATGGAACGTGCCCGGCAGCAGTGCCACAAGCAACTCTGCAAGAGTAGCGTGCTATCTACGCTTCCGCACATTGCAACCAATATGCAGGGGGCCTCACCCTCACGCACGGCACGAAGTGTCGTCATGACCCTGGCAAAATCCTCGATCGATTCCTGCTTCTCACAAATTCTCACAAGCTGGTCTCTTTTGCATTTTAACCGTGGCAATTTCGCACGATGCCACGCCTGGCTCGCAATGGTGAAATCCAGATCGCCCCTCAGCAGAGGCAGGGCAGGGTCGCAGCCGAAAACACAAAACTCTGCTCGCCCTGAGCAAACCTGTAACTGAATCTCGTGCGGACCCATTGCACTCCGAGCATCGTCTTGGGGCCCTGGAGCTTCACGTGCTGCAGCAACTTCCATGCAGCACTCTGGCGAAGAATCACGAAGCCGGCTTCCTGGGGACGTCTATGTCTTGCTGCGCAAGAGCTCGCTGCAAGAGCTCGCCAGCGCAGGCTTCCGCAGGCTTCCGCAGGCTTCCGCAGGCTTCGGCAAGCTGCAAGACAGGGTGTCCAGGCCTCGCTGGACATCTGCTCTGATTCCAGCTGCAGTGCATCGTACTGACTGAAATCCTTTGGCGTCGCAGATGCCAGGGCACGCCCCAGGCCTTTGACAGTCCAAGCACTGCGGGATTCCGATGCTCGCTCTTCAACACGAGGGCTGGCCGCCAGTCCAAGCTACTGTCGCAAAGAGGACCAGAAGACTGACTGCCGAGAGTCGCCATGCGAAGACTTCAGTCTGCAGCTTGTGCGCAATTTCGCGGAAGCTCTGCGAGGACTTCGGCCGATTCTGGTTCTCACCTCGGCCAGGACTGCAAGGGGAGTGGGGATGGTCAGGGGGTGGGTGCAGACTGAAGCTCTGGAACAGGAATGAAACTGAACCTTTCTGCCAGTGCCACCAGCCACACTTCTTCGCAATCTCGAGGCAGCTCTTGCCTTAAGTGGGCAAGAGGAGGACGACTCGGCGGGGCAGGGCAGCAAGCGTCCCAAGTGCAACCAGGACGCTTATCCTGCCGACGTTGGCGAAGCTGACCCAAGCTTCCGGACAATCTGTCGAGGTCCAGGCCTCCGCTGCGAGCAGAGAGGTTTAAGCACTGCACTGCAAAGAGGGGAAGCTGGCCTTTTGCAAAGACTCTACGGCCTTCTGAGTCCACAGAAGTTCCTTCAACTTATGGTGCAAGATTTGACGCCGACTTCCAGCGAATGCTAATTGCAGCGGAAGGCATAAGGCTTGCTGTGGCGTCACGGTCCTGATCCCCCACGCTTTCGTGGTTCCATCTCCGCAGAAGCGATGCTAGCAGCCTCCATCGGCAGTTTAACTCAAAGCCTCTGTGCCATTGATGAGTTGACAACTTGCATCCGTTTCAACTTGCTCCATGCCTAGCCGATCGGCGCCGACTGCCAGAAAGCCCCTGAAGAAGCCTGCACCCGGAGGGTACAACGCTTGCCTCCGAAAACCATGTAGCACCCGCCTCGCCCTCTGCGACGAAAGCTCAACACCCTCGAGCGATGCAGCCTCCCGAACATCCAAGCTCGCGCTTTGTGAACCTTCCCTGCTCGCCCCGGGTCCTGCCTTGTTCAGCCAGGCTTCTGAATCAAAGCCGTCGAGAGAACTGGTGGACAGCTTCGAGAGCCTCAGGGAGCACAGGAGCACAACACAGCACAGCAGAGCCTCGCTGTGCAGAGCTGTGCCGAACCCGGCGAGCGGCAGGTTGGCCGTCAGCAGCCGACCCCTCAGAGCCTTGGCCTGGCGACGCCCCGCCGGCAGAGACGCAACGTTGGCAAAAACGGTGCTCTTCTCGCGGCTCTTCGCTCAGCGATGCCTCGGAGAACCGCAGTTTGCTCCACAGCTGCTCCACGGCTTCGGAAAGTCCTGGGTGCCAGGAGCTCTGGCTCTGACGTCAGGCACGCGTGATCGCAGCGCTGCGTCCTTCGCCGGCCAGGTTGGTCAGGTCAGAGTCCCGCGCGTCGCTGAAGACCTCGTCTCGCAGTCGGATCACGCGGGGCTTCTGGCGCTTGGCTCCATTGGCTCCCCTGGCCTGGCCTGCAAGGACTTCACCACGAACCTCAGCTGCGTTGGGGCGCTTAGAATTGTCGACTCAGCCCTGAGTTGCGATGAAGGAGCAGTTGAAGATGCTTCGCTGAATCACTGCGCTCCTCCCGCTCCATGGAGGCCTCGCCGGCAAACTGCCCCACGAAGTCTCGCACACGGACAACTCAAATATCTCCACTCGGCCGGGAGACCAATAAGTGAGCAGCTTCCTGCAGCCAGCGACAAAGCTGTCGATCCGGAACCTTCCTGAGATTTCGAAACGTCATGGCCCAATGCACTCCTTCATCAACGATTTGACTTTGGGGAATTCCACACCCCCTAATGGATGCAGCTTCGGTGATCCACCGACTAGGTGTCTGCAACTCCAAGTCCACACCGGTCGGACCGGAAAAAATGCTGGCTGCGCTCCGGCTTTCAATCTTGCTGTAGCGCTCGCTCCAGCCAGTACCATCCCCTTCCACCTCCTGCAAAAGAAGACAATACTCGAAGAGGCATGAAATGAGCTGTTGGAAACCTCAACCCGAAAACTTCAAACATTTGTCTGGCTTCAGGAAATCGCAAATGCCCGGTTGCCGCCTGATCCTCCTCGTTAGTGCTCTCCACAGCCACAGCCTTTGTCGGGACATAATGCGGCAATCAGCCCTTTAAGGGCCACAGCCTTGTCTCTCGCCTGGATGGCCGCCACCAGCCCCGCCTTCTTTGGCTCCGAGCTTGCCTTGGCTGTGGCACTCCCCCCCCTCGATCCTTTTGTCTCTGATGCTCGCTTCGGTTTGGCGGACTTGCCTTGTCCATCTTCTCGCGCTTCGCAGGTTCATGCGAGAGCTCCTCCAAAGACAAGCAGCATCCCCCGGGCGATGGATGTGAAGAGCTGTCATTTGTCCTTTATCACGGACAAGCCGGGACAAGTGTGCAAACTGCCGAGCCTTTGCCATCGCAAGAAGCACAGCTGCTCGTCTGGACAGCGCCAGCTCCTGCTCTGAGGTACCAATCTCCATTCGCACGGCCTCGCAATGCGACCAGGGGTCCTCCGTCTCGCCGGCTGAGGAGGCCTGGGTCATGAACGGCAGTGCAGAGCCACGGTGTCACTGGCAGTTGCACTGCCTCTGAAGCCTGAAGGGCATCCGCTGCCTCCTGATTGGGGGGGCTTGGGCTCAATCGTCGAACAGGTCGTGCTGCGGCGGACAAGAACGAATGCCTCGTTATCATCATCGACCAGGGACGGAGTCACCTGGAACAAATGCGGGGTGACAGGGCAGAGACTTCGACTTTCCGCAGTCTTGCGGGCATGAACGGCGCACTCATAAGGTACACAGGTCACTATCACCAGACACGCCTGACCTTGAGAAGCAGCCCATCTCAACAGCTGGCCCGTGCCTTGGCCAGAACCACGGAGTTCTCGACTATCTTGCGGATGTCCTCCACTCTGCTGGCTCTGCTAGGCACCGAAACGCGGTGAAACTGCGCTTTGTCAAAAAAAAAACGGTAAAGCGCCGCCCGCTCCGGCCGCTGCTCGAGCGGGGAGGGCAGCGAGGACCTGGCCACTGCGCGCCTGCAACATCCGTGTCCGACGGCTTTGGTTCTGTTTGTTTTCGGGGGCTTGCGGGTGGCTCCCGAGTCACAAGCCACAGCAAGAAATGCAAGCACTGAAGCGGAGAGCTTTGTTTTTTGGAAGCCCCTATCGAACTGAAAACACGTCGTGCCGGCTTGCTGTAAGGCACCTCTCCAAGGTGGGATGTTGCGTCTATCTGGGTTTGGACTTCAGGGCTTTCCATCGCCCGCCTGCCCTCACCCCAGTCCAGCGAGACCAGGCCAGCAAAAAGAACGGCTCCGATGACCGGCCTCACAAGGGAACAAGGAGTGAAAGCTGCCCGGCCAACCAGACCCCAACGTAGACCATGTTCGTGCCGTCCATGCATGCATGCATGCATGATGGATGCATGGATGCACGGATGCATGATGGATGCATGGATGGATGGATGGATGGATGGATGCATGGACGGATGGATGGATGGATGGATGGATGGGGGATGGATGGATGGATGTGTGGATGAGTAAGAACGTATGTAGGCATGTATGTATGTACGCATGCCTTAGCGCATGTGTACATGTGTTTATGTCTGTCGGTCTATCTGTCTGTCCGTCTCCGGCTGTCTGTCTGCTGCATGCATGTATGAGTTGCATGTGTGCATGTAGGAACGTAGGAATGTTGGCATGTTTGCTTCGGCTGCGTGTTTATGATTGCATGTAAAAAACGTATGAATGATTGTCTGTTTGCTTCTTGTTTTGTTCGTCTGCTTGTGTCTATGTGGGTATGTTTGCGTGCCTGTCGTTTGTTCCTTTCTTTTGCTGGTCTGCCCAATGTGCATGTAGTCCGTTTCTTTGGTGCGTAGTGAAGCCGAACACTGCCGTGATAACAAGCCGCGGAAACTCTAGCTTCCTTTTCTTTTAAGGCACACTGCGCATGGTTGCCATCAGCCGAGTAGCACAGACATTGCATTGCCCGCAAGGAAGATCAGTTCGTTCTCTGTGTGGTGATCTCGGCACAACAAAAGCTCCGGCTGAATCAGCACGTTTGACCGGCGAAACAAGCACCGCGCCTGCGCTGCAGTCGGTGTCATGACTCTACGCACAGGCCCACGAAGACAAACATTGCCAGCATGCTGTAGCTAAGGCACCCAGATTCATCTCGTCCAATGGGAAACCATTGAGTCCTAAGAAAGCCCGAGTACTGAGAGCGCTGGATGGCTCCCAGCTGTGGTCGGGAGCTAGGGAATGAAAGTAGCCGGGCAGGTTCGTGCTTGATCGACGGCCCCACTCATCCTGAAACGTACTGTGACGAAGTCTAAGAATCACTCACAGACGCTTGTCTATGTCGCCAGGTGGCTCAGGCACTCCTCTCCCACGAAGGGGCGATGCCGGCTGAAACTGTAAAAACAACAGCCCGTTGTCAATGTCGGAATGTTACCTTGCCGCGAGCTGGAGCAACGACTCAAAGATATTTGCTGTCTCGGACATTAACAAAAGCAAAAGATGACTGTCACGCTGAGCTGACGGCCGTCATCCCTCCAAGCCCCTCGAGAAACCTGTCCGACAAAGATTCAGAGAGCATTGAAAAAAAGCACTCCGGTATGCCAATTGTGACTTTCGCAGCATCTTTGTGGCAATGTTACAAGCCCTCTGAACCCATCTGCGAGCTACGTGCCCCAGTCACGTGTTCAGACCCAGTCAAAGCCACACAGCGCCAGTCAGTTCGGGCCAGTCTATGGGTCATCTTGAATGACCTAGCCTGCTGGCTGAGATCGGCAAGCAGGAAATTGAAGTCCAAGCCCTGCTTCTCCTTGCAATGTTGACAGGTGCAGAATATGTCAAATGGAAGAGAAAGCCGAATCAGACCGTTGGAAGGGGAAGTATCCTGCACACAGGGGTGCTGTGATGAAGCTTCTTCATGTCACCCGCTGTTCCGTATCTTCTTGTCCTGAACATTGTGGGCGGCGGTGATGTTGGTGTTGGTGTTGGTGTTGTTGTCGGTGTCGGTGTTGGTGTTGCTGCTGTTGCTTATGGTTTTGGTGGTGTTTTTGTTGACTGTGTTGGTGGTGTTGGTGTTGTTTGTGTTGTCGGGTGAAGCAGGCAGTTAGGAGCAGGAGGTCACGACAGCAGGACTCGCTATGCTTGGGAAATACAGCACGCACTAGTTGCCATCTGTATTTTTCCAGGAGGAGACCACCAAGAGACCACCAGAAGATCATCAGAAGACCACCCACGACGAGCAATGAAGAGAACAGCCGGCGACTTGCAAGCGACCACCACGACACCAGAACACCACCAAGAGACCACCAAGAAACCACCAAGGGACCACCAAAAGACCACCAAAAGACCAGGGACCACGAAGAAGGCGACCACCAGGAGACCCCGACAGACTAGCAGGAGAGCGCAGCAGGAGACTCCTAGACAGGAGAGCAGGAGGGCGAGATCCGGAAACACCATCGTTTCCTGCAGGAGCTGTTGCGATTTGAAGCTTTTAGCAACAAAGGGTCTAGCTCGCCTGGATGCACCGCACGGATTCGCTGTCAATCATAGGGTCCCGTGTAAATAGTACCATGCGGAAACCTGGTTTGCCCTAACCCTAAACCCAAAACCGGTTTGCACCCTTTGCGGGACCTGGGGAGCTCCTTTTTTCGAGGTGCGCCGGAGCGGCCAATCAATCAACACTCTCTTTACTCTGAACGCAAGAGCTCCATAGTGTCACCGCACTGCCTGGGGAATTCTGACTGTCACTATTGCAGTTGGAGTAACTGCTGCGGCTGCTGCTGCGACGACGACTAGAACTACTACGACTGCTAAGACTAGTACGACTACTGCGACTACTGACTCTCTATACGACTACGACGGCGACGACGACTACTACTTACTATTCTTATTCTTATTCTTGTAATTGTTATTATTATTGCTTCAACCATTCGTGTATTTGCATTTCTATTCACTACCGTTAACATTACCATTACCATTACCACCACTATAACCGTCATTTTAACCAGCACAAGTGCCATTACCATCACCATTCCGACTACTAGTTACTATTCCAATCAATCAGGATTTGAATTCGTACGAGTCACAAATGCATGCACGCACACACACACACACACACACACACACACCACGCTCACACAGTAATTATCCAGCAAGGCTCTGCAATGGCATAGATGATGTCAAGCTGTTGCACCATTTTTTCCTTCGTTGATTCTCAATGCATGGATCGCTATCTGGACATGCTCCTGTCTGCTTCCTCCTTGTCTCAGTTTTCTCTCTCTCTCTCTCTCTCTCTCCCTGTTTTTCTTTCTGCAAGGGAGCAAAGTCCTCTCTGCTGCTCTCTGTCCAACGCGCTACTGCCTGCAAAAGCAAGGCCGACATCTCAGGCATTTCTGGTCATGTCTACCTACCCTAGGCAATCAGAGCCAAGATGAACGAGTGCTGCGTAGTTCCGGATCATATTGGATCCCTCGTACCCTTCGTATGCCGTGCCCAAATGCAGCCAAGCATGCGGTAGCCTGTGGAAACCAGCCGGCAGCGCGCTCCTGCTGTGTGCCGAACAGCCATGGAAACCGGAAAACCGCTGAGGTTCGTACCAAATCCTGAAAAGAAACACAGCAGTCTAACAAGCCTTGGAGTAAGGTCGATCCGAGGCCGCGATGCCCAGTTCTTGTCGCTTTGTCCTTCATGGCCACTCCGGTCATGTCTGTGTTGGACTAGCTTGGGCAGTTTGCTTGCATCGCGCCCATTTGTCCGGTCGCGTCTAGCCATGTCCCTCTAGCCATGTCCCGCCTGAACAGAGCTTCGGTAAACTTGGTGCAAGCCTTGCGCGGACCGCCTCAGGTGAGACAGACACGTTTCAGTTAAGAACTCTGAGGTACACTGGGTGCTGCCAACTCGAACGTAACACAATGTCTTTCAGACCCTCCGGCCCAGGAGCCTCCGCTCTTGCCGACACGTGATTTTGCCAGCTCCAGCTTCGGATGACCCTCCTCAGAGCAGGGGAGGTCTGCCGGTCCGTTGAAGATGCACCCTCTTTCCGACTCCTGCCTTCCCGGTCCTACACGAGGTTCGTCTCTCCAAAGGTAAATGCCAAGAGTCTGGGAAAAGGAAATCGTTGCCTAGGATTCGCAAGTGCGGAGCTTTACTGTGCAATGCCACATCTGTTTCATTCCACTCCAGGGCACATGACCCTCGCGGAAGTCGACCGGCACAGGCAGTCAGCACCTCTACGCACAGTGGCAGGGCTACACAGCGGGTCAAAAAGTTGCTTCTTGTTTCATTGCACTACCATGCACTACCCCAGGTCTCCCGGCTTCTTCTACGACAGCTAGTCACAGCTGAGTAGCATCGAAGATGCGCTCGGCAGCTTTCTGACCGCCAGCATCCTCCCTAACCATGACGATGTACACCTTAAGGCTTTGTGACTGCGGAAAGGGCTGCCGGATGCCAAGCTGACAAGTCGAAAGCCTTTTTTAGGAAAGGAGCACGGGGCCGGCTTTGCGGAAGGCCCCAATCCTCAGGCAAACAGACGCGGAGAACGAGGCACGCCCACACGGCGTAGCAAGGTTCAGCGGCCGCGAAATCCCCGTTTAACCCGACTCCCGACTGTTTCTGTCTTTCACCATTATCGCAGCTGAGCTTCGTAAGAATACAATATGTCCCATCGAAGCCCATAGCCTTCGATGAGGCTCAACCCCCAGTCCGCGTTGGGCTCAGTGCCCTGATAACAATCTTCTTGGCTTTCCTCGGAGCAGCACGCGGTTAAAGCAATGTGGGGGGGCGGAGATGGGCTTTTAAGATTGATCTGCTCTCTTTGGAGCACAAACACGGTTCCAAGTCGGCTATCTGCTAGAGTTTTACCTCTGCAAAACATGTTTTATTTAGCACACCAAACCGGGCTCAGCTCCAATCCAACTCAGACAAATCTCGAAGCACCCTGCCGATCCACCGGCTGCCCTCCCTCATCACACAACAGCGGCCTTGGATCACCCCCGTGATCTTGTCTGGACGTTTTTCTTCTGCAATCCCCCAACTTCGACCAGCACGTTTGGTCATGACCAACTCAGCCAAGAAGTCGCCAATTCGTTCTTGATGGTCACGACCGGCATCTTCAAACACGTGAGGATTTGGATGTCGTGGTAGATGTCGTTCTCTTGTTCGCTCCTCATTTGACGCATTGTGCTGGCGCCGCAGGGGCCGCTGCCATTCTGGTAGCCGTCGAATGCCAAGAGCATCTGTAGTTTGTCCCAAACATGGCCTCTCGGCACTGTTTGCCCATGCTTTGCCGGTACCACGCCGCGAAACTATATCGATCCTATACGTGCCGCGTTTTGTCTTATCTGGATCATCATGTTGTCACCTGCAGAGGCTGTGTCGGACACATTCCCGTGCTTTATCACCAATGTGCCATTTTCCCGCTTCATCTGGAAAGTTTGAAAATTTCGGCCCATTCGCATGATCTTCGTTCACATGTGCATCCTCAGCATCAAAAAAATTGGCGGGACACGTGACGTGAAAACCCGCACGAAGATCAATGCACTATGCATTTCCTTCACAATATTGCACATCACCCAGTCAAACATCATGGCGACAAATCCTTCAACATCGCGCCGTTTATCACCACAAGAATCACTCTCCCAAGGTCAAACGAAGGTTCCAATGGATTTGTAGCCTGATGTATCTGCATCTGTTTGATTGGCAAATTCCTGAATACCTGAATTGCTGCGGCGGGCGGCGCCACCATGTGCTTCGAAGTCACCACATAAGCCGGATTTATGCACACTGTGCATGGCAACTTGTCCAAGCAGTATTTCTGTGAATGTGGCTCCCGGATCACACACATTCACTCCTGCTTTCCAAAGCCTGCAATAGCCTGTCTCATCCCTCGGCTGCTTTGGCTGTCGACACTGCTGGCCAAACCCGGAACTTGGGCCGTTATTCGTTATTCGGGCTTGAACTCATCTTCCGCACCTGTTACCGCATGCCCAACTGTCTGGACAGGTCGGTCGGCAAGATGGCTTCTTGTGACTGCAAGACACTTTTCTGTCCGCCACACCATCCTCGTCGTCACCTTTCTCCTTCCTTTACTCAATATGCTCCATCCATGTCACCCACACTGCCAGAGGTTTGCTCCCGATTGAAGGCTCGGGGAAGCAAGTCCAACTCGAAGTGGGTGTTTTGTCGCTCTTCTCCTCATCATGTTCTTTTGCGTGTTCGAGCTGGGCTCGAAGGAAACCTCCTTCTTCTTGGCGACTTTCAGAAATCCATGCCCGGTGTACCCAAGGCAGAACTAGACGTACCTGCACCGACAGCCGGTTGCAACATCCTCAATCTGCTGGGGTGTTTGTGCCCGTTGCCACGGTGCAAGACTAGCATTGACCATGTTACAAGAGCAATCCCCCTGCGGCCAGTCGGTATTCCGTCTTCCGTATTTCGGCTGCAGCATGTGAATTTTCTTCAAAACCATGCCTTTCATTTGGCGCATGGGCAACCCACAGAGCCCACTCTTACCACCCCCGCCTGCACATACGCCAAGCATGTTTCGCTCGCGGTCTTGCAATACTACATATTTGCGGAGACCCGATACAGACTTCGGGTAGGGCTTTTGGCACAGTTCTCGCTTTCTGCCCGTGATCCTTGAGCAGAGCACTGCCAACCCTCTCTGTGTCGGGATCCTAGCAGGGCACTGACACCTTAATTCAGGACACGCGCAGGCTGACAAGGAAGCATCAGCTGTTGCTGGCGAAAGCAAGAACACTCTTACAGGCCGCTAAAAAGCACTTGGGGACAGTGTCCCCAACAACGACGTCCAGCACAACCAGGAAAGCTCTTCAAACAAACATGGACCAAGCGAATCACATGTGCTGCACTCAAAGCTGCAGAACTAGAAACGCGCATCACTCGCGTTCTTGGCTTTGGGTCTTAAGGTGCATGGTATGGCTTAGGCTCCGGGCTTAAAACTGTCGGGTTTCGGGCTTTTTCTCCCAGCTGCTTCGCTGACCAAGGCGCACAGAAGGGATTCCACACATGCGGCTTTTTCCCTCACATGCGGCTTAGGGCTTTGGGTTTTTTGTTGCTCCCGGACAGACCCACTCAGGTCGGAGAGTGAATGCAAACGGCGCACCTTCAGCGCCTCAAGCGCGCAGCCACCCCATACGTCTGCAAGCATTCCTGGCGACCCCGTTCATCGCAACCACTGACGCCACAGACGAATTTTCGATGCACACCCACTGACCGGCATTCTTGCTGGAGCAGAACCGGGAGGTGCTGCCGGGCATTTTCGCCACGTGGAAGCTATGGGCTGGAGACTCTTGTTAGGTTTGAAAGTTGTTATTTTCCGCGCCTTCTTTCATTGTTTCATTTACCTACTCAACTCAGACCTACTGAAGTGTTTATAAGCCTGGCTTGGCAAGCTGCTTGGCTAACACAGTAGCCCCTCAACGCTTGTTGCGGGAAGCGATGGCACTTCACTCTGGGCTCTTCGGTGCACAGCATCCTTTGACGAAACAAGTCCAATTCGCTGTGGGTTTTTTTTGTAGCTCTTCTCCTCCTGATCATGCTCTTCTGGGTGTTCGATCTGAACTCGAAGGAAACCTCCTTATTCTTGGCGACTTTCAGAAATCCATGCCCGGTGTACCCAAAGCAGAACTAAACGTAACAGCACCGACAGTCGCTTGCAACATCCTCAATCTGCTGGGGTGTTTGTGCCCGTTGCCACGGTGCAAGACGAGCATTGACCATGTTACAAGAGCAATCCCCCTGCGGCCAGTCGGTATTCCGTCTTCCGTATTTCGGCTGCAGCATGTGAATTTTCTTCCAAGCCATGCATTTCATTTGGCGCATGGGCAACCCACAGAACCCACTCTTCCCACTTCCGCCTGCACATAAACGTTCTTGCAATATTTTTATACTCCCGGAGACCCGATATGAACTTCGAGCAGGGCTTTTGGCACAGTTCGCTTTCTGCCCGTGATCCTTGAGCAGAGCACTGCCAACCCTCTCTGTGTCGGGATCCTAGCAGGGCACTGACACCTTAATTCAGGACACACGCACATCAGCTCAAAGGCTGACAAGGAAGCATCAGCTGTTGCTGGCGAAAGCAAGAACACTCTTACAGGCCGCTAAAAAGCACTTGGGGACAGTGTCCCCAACAACGACGTCCAGCACAACCAGGAGGGCTCTTCAAACAAACATGGACCAAGCGAATCACACTTGCTGCACTCCAAGCTGCAGAACGAGAAATTCGCATCACTCGCGTTCTTGGCTTTGGGTCTTAAGGTGCAAGGTATGGCTTAGGCTTCGGGCTAAGACTTTCGGGTTTCGGGTTTTTCTCCCACCTGCTTCACTAACCAGGTCGCACAGAAGGGATTCCACACATGCGGCTTAGGGCTTAGGCTTTTTTGCTGCTCCCGGACAGGCCCATTCAGGTCGGAGTGAATGCAAACGGTCCACCTTCAGCGCCTCAGGCGCGCAGCCACTCCATACGTTTGTAAGCATTCCTGGCGACCCCGCTCATCGCTACAGACGAATTTTCGATGCACACCCACTGACCGGCATTCTTGCTGGAACAGAACCGGGAGGTGCTGCCGGGCATTTTCGCCACGTGGAAGCCATGGGCTGGAAAATCTTGTTGGGGTTGAACGCTTTTATTTCCGCGCCTTCTTTCATTGTCCCATACACCTGTTCAGACCTATTCAATCAAATCTACTCCTAAGGAAGTGTTTATAATATGTTTATAAGCCTGGCTTGGCAAGCTGCTTGGCTAACACAGTAGCCCTCAACGCTTGTTGCGGGAAGCGATGGCACCTCCTCGGACTGTTCTGACCTACTCGTGGTATCAATCAAAAGTCAAAAGTCTGACGTCCAACATTGCAGAATGAAATCTGTACCCTTCGGTGCACAGTACCCTTTGACTGCATCAACCATACGGCAGCGGCTGTACACTGAGCGGCTTTGAGCACAAGGCTCTGCAAGTTAACACGTTATGACACATGTGGGCTGGATATGGTCGTTTTTGACCAGACGCTGAGCCTCCATGGGTTGACCATCGAGTTTGAAGATGACCCCCTGAGAGGTCCCCATTCCTCCGCTGCTCGGAAATCTGTGAAGCGCGAAGTTCATGTCCGGGCTGTTCGCCGCCATGGCATCCGCTTGCTCCCCCAACTGCTTCCTTGTACTCTCCGGCAGCATCACCGTCTCCTTGGCGTCGGCGTCCTTGCCCTCATGCATCTTTGCCGTCACACTCACTGACACATAGCCCCGCCCCGAACTTCAACTTCCCCTCGTCGACCGCTGCCCGCCCCTTGAACTTAGGCTTCGGGCTATGGAGCTTGGGGCTTGTTTCCCTCCTACCTAGCAGGGACGCTTGGGGTGTAGGGTTTGAGATCCGAAGGTGCAGGCTTTTTAGTCGCTGGTGGACTCGATTTGTCATGCAAACGACAAGAGGGTGGGCAGATACAGAATCGCGGCCCAAGCTGCAGGGTTTCGGCCTCGAAGAATAAAATCGATCGGAGGGTGCTCGGTCTCCGGATTCGGTGCGAGCAAGCCCTTCACCTCGGGGCATACATCAGGACAAGGTGTTGCGCCTGCCTCCCAAGAACCCGGCATTTTCCAGGATCACCAGCCGCGGTCTCCTCTCCGCGATGAACTTTCCTGAGCATGCGCTCAGTGCCCAGCGGCCAAAGCTCCAGGACAATGTTGACAAGTCAGTCCAATTTAACTCCACGCAAATCGTCAAGACATCACATGCCGTCTACCTGAGACTTCCTGCGACGGAGCCTGCACTGAGTGGCATGGAATCCGGAAGAGCTCCGTATGCAAAGAAGGAGCGCATCTCGAAGAAGGGCACAGCGGCAGGTTCAGTAAAGCAGTTCCTCTTGAACCGCTTGGGATTGCAAAAAGAATACCTTGGCGGCACCAAACCTTCGACAAACGAACACCACTCTCGAAGCCCACCCAGGCAACCATGGCAACCCCAGCCCTCCAAACTTCGTCGAAGCAAACCTTCACGAAGGAATCCAGTCGCCGCGTTGCGGAGTACAAGGAAAACCTCCGACGAAAATGTCCACCTCCCCGTCTGGCACGGCACAGCGGCCGCCATGACGAGCACAGGCCCCAGAACCTGAACCAGGACAAAAGGCGAAGGTAGGCGAAGCGACCGAAGCCCACACAGTTTACCACGCCTTGCATGACGTAGCAAACGTCCTCGAAGAGGTGCTTGGTGTTGCCTCACAGGTCCACAGCTTGCCGGAACAAGCCGTCGAAACAAGAATGAGCAACCGTCGTCTGGGATAATACACCGAGATGCACAAAGACCACAAACCAACAACTTCAGCTCCGAGCATCTGAGCAAGACCCACAGACCGACCGACTCTGATTGTTGAACTGCAAGAAGCCCCACCACCGGCACACAGAAATCCCTCTTTTCCAAGAATCATGTCTTCCGATTTTGGAGCAAAGCGAGCAATCAAGGAACAATGTTTACAAATGTCGTTTGTCGAGATACAGTTCCTCAGGATAAAGCGCCGCGGGTTCTCGTTGATCTCGGAGCCGAACAGCTGCTCGAAGCCTCACTCAAGAACAGACCATAATGATGCTGCATAATTCATACCATAGCCTGTCAGCTCTTCGGTTTTTCGGGGAGCTCGCTTCCATCCACTTGGGATGCCTTGAGAGACCGGATGTCGTCTTCGCAAACTGAATCCGAAGCTCTCCGAAGTTTTCTGTCACCTTTGCCAGCATCTAATCAACCGTTTGGACATGCGCCTTTGTGGCCCACGAGCTGGCGCATGGCAAAATGTGGCGCCTAGCCGGGCTCAAGCAGATCTGGGAGTGCTGCCGAAAATGTCCAATGCCTCTGCACCGGAGCAGCCAGTGACAAGACCTAATTGGATGCACAGATGGGCCCTAAATCGGTGAGTGTCTCCAGGAAACAGAACGACACACATGCATTGTGCATTGGCCTGACTCTGGACGAGTCCACGGCTCAGCTCCATCTTTTCATTTTAAGCACCCATTCCTACTTTGTGGGATTGTAGTTCTTGTGAGCCACTAAACCAACCTACTCTCCTCTCGCACCATTGGGCCAGGCAGCGCAAGGGCCGTTTGACAAAGTCAAACTCGGCAGCCAACAAGTCCTCCCAGGAAGGTTGCAAGCACCCTGTGTTCACCGAAGCTCGTTGCTGGCTTGTTCAGAAAACGGCTGGTGAGGTCTCGCTTGTTTGGTGCACGATGAGGCATCGTCCGGGCACATCCCATGTTATCCATGGATATCTTTGCTCCAACCACATGGAAGGGTGACGCCACTGGCACCCATGGGCCCAGTGAAAAGCTTTTGAAACACGCCTCAGTACTTTCGCTGGCTCTTACCATGCCACGGCTGCAGTGTCACCGACGGAAATCTCCACTCCGCTGTGGTCGAGAAACACCAGCGCGTTCTGCCCAAAATAAACATCATCTGCTCTTCTGGATTCGCTAAAGAACCCCTTGTGCAGTGCTGCTCTCTGGGCCATCAAACGTCCAGAACGGTGTTCTCGCAGGGTCTTTGTCATAGCGCCTCCAGTCTTCGTCGTTCGCGTCCCGGTCTGCGGGTCGATTCCAGGGACAGTGCAGCGGGAGCATGGTTTCACCAACGGCAGCTCAACACCTGGAAGAGACAATGACCGCATCTCGTCCTCTTGAAAAGGCCCACAACCTTCCACGTGGATGTTCGGTCGAAAGCGATCGATGCCCACAACCGGGCCCCCTGCATTCTTCACCTGTTTTTCAAGCTTCGGAACCGCAACATCAGCGGACCCATAGCACAAACATCAGTGCTGTCGTTGCTGCCGAGAAACTCTTCGGCGAATCGCATCGATGGAGGCTTGCGATGTCACAAGCACTGGGAAGCCGTCAGAGAAGGCAGTCTCTCCAACGCCGTACTTGGGGTCCGTAACTCGTTGAGCCGTCTTGGCGATTCTAACCTTAGTGAGGTAGCTATGGATTTCAGCCGCGGCTGAAATCCGGATCAGTGAAGAATCTCCAACTTACCCGGGGCCCGAAGATTTTCAATGAGCCACGTCGAATTAAATGTGTGTTCGCCTCCCACTGGAATACATGCAGAATCAGTTGCAAGCAATTGCAGTCCAGATGCTAGACGCAGGCCATCACTCCGCAAGTAGCTTGATAGCCACTTTGCCACCTCGTCACCTGCACCAGCCGCAGGCGAGACGGTGCAGGGGGCCCATTCCAGAAAGGCTGGTTCGTCAAGCGCTTCTCCAACCCCCTGCCTTGATCGATTGCCGGTACCCAATCCTCCCAAACCTAAGTGACCACAAACGTTCAAAGCTTTTGGCAAGCAGAGCCCCAGCCCTCTTCGGCACGTCTTCCAACGAAGCTTCAAAACCAGTCCATGCCCAGGAGCTCTGACCTTCTTCTCTGGGCCATCTGCCTTCAGTGGCACAAGCAGCGGGTCCGCAGCCTCCCCCGGAGCCACACGCATCATGATGCCTTTTGAGGTGGGCAGCTCCTGTCAAGTTAGCAGCGAAATTTGGGAAGCAGGGCTAGAGGCACGGTACTTGCATATGCTTGCGTCTTCTTCGCCGAGTGTCTGGATGGATGAGGGCCATGCGGGGCAGCTCGCGTTGTGACACAAACTCCATCTTGTCGTTCACGATCATATACGTTCGGTCGCCTTCGATCCCCCACTTCGTCAGACGTGCCTTCGAGAGCGAGTGGCCTCTGCAGCCTTTGATGGGGTACACGTACAAGCTGGCAACGCGCACCCGCTTTGGACGGTGCCAGCCGAAACGTCTCGAGAGCAGCCAATAGATTGCGCCACCAGCCGCGACACTCCCCAATCCTGCCAGAACCTTGCCCCAAGTCGGTTCGGAGGCAGAGAAGCGGGAAAGCAGTCCCATGGGTCCTTTTTACGGAATTGCTTGGGCTCCCTTGTTACAAAAATGGCTGCGCACAGGAAGCTCACGTTATCTGAAGCGCTGCTGTGGCACAACCTATCCTCCTATCCTGAGCAACAGCTCTAACGCTTCGTAGAAGACGACGTCCCAGAAATGTCGCAACGTTCCGCCTTCAGCCTCTGTGCCCAGTCAGCAGCATGCCAACCGTAACCCAAACTCTCCGCCCGACCTGAGCTGCAACTTTGCCAGCAGCATGGCCTTGAGGTGTCTGCCTTCCCTTAAGCATAACGCCTGAAACAAGAGAAAAGAGTCGGTACGTTCGGTACGTCAGCTTGCCTTCGTACCGCTACTATTTGCACGCCAAGCCTCCGATATGACGAGTGCGGAGGGTGGCCGGCAGTGAGGCTGGCGCTCCACTAAGGCGCCGGTCCTCTTTACGCTAACGGAAACAATGTGGATGCAATTGCTCATATGCGCCAAGCTCACACGTCTACATACCGTGCATCAAGACGTACATTGGGTCAGCACGGAGCATTATGTGCAGGCCACCATAATTAGACCGAGGCTCTGTTTCCGCTGCCTGAGGCCTCGAACAAGGGTTGGCTTGGTTGAAGTTTGCCCACAATAGCGCGATCAAACACAGCTACGAATCGAGCGGTGCAGACAGAAGTTTGATCCACTAAGTCAATCGATTTCACGATCAGACAAAGGAAGACTAGCATCGCGAATGTCCCCGAGTCAGCTCTAACCTTGCAGCATCCGATCAGCCCGGTAGCACGCAAACCCCCCAATAAACCTCACAGTAAACTGGCTCAAACCGCTTGCTTGCTGGGCCAGTCGCGCAGCGGCAAGGGCCCCAGACACCTGCTCTAGACGATGCTGCAGCGCCGAGGCCTCCAACACAAACCAGATCCAACAGGCATCCGACATGCGCGGGCTATGGTAGAAGCTCGCTATACACAAAGGCAGCGAGCGATGTGAGGCGCGAAACAGCCGAAAGCTGAACTGTTCAACCGTGCTCAAGCAGAACACAGAACACCTATGAATCTCCTTGTATTCGCATACGACATGCAAACTTCAACTGCGGCGGCCGTGCGTGTAGCTACTGCTTCAGCCTTGGGATCAGAATGGCACCTCTTCTTTGGATAGCCTTGACGACGGCGCAAACGCATGCAGCGCCTTCCTGGAAAGAAACCGAGTCTGGGTGCGAACATAGTGGACTGAAATCAAGAAAACGTTGCTTTCAGGATTTACCTTTTCTTCTTCAAGACCCTTGCACCTCGCTTGCAGGTAGCCAAGGCGAATGGTCACAGCGGCTTTGGCAGGACCAAACACCTTCAATCAAATCAGCACGTGAATCATAAGAAGGGAGGCAGTGAGAGGCGAACATGGATGGGGCCTTGATACTGGAGTCCCAAGAACACGCCAGCTCCACCCGAAGGCAGCCAGCATCTTCTCCTCGAGGGGGGATTTTTCCCGGCGAAATTGCTGCATATCTGCGTAAGTCACAGACTTCTTGGGAACCTCTGAATCACTTCAAAGAGGTGTCACCCAAGCTTAGCCTATGGCATTGAAGCACCACAGCTCGCAGTTTCGGCTTCTGAACTTCCCCGCGCGCCGTTGGAAGCACGGAGGACGGCTTCGATGCAGTTGACTACCTCCCGGAACGACGACCTCAAAGGGGCCTCGGCAGCAGAACGCCTAAGGCCTAGTTACACATGAGCCTCTGCACCCTGTATCGGGACTTCGGCCTGCGGCAACGGCCCACCGGCCCCGAGGCTCGCTGCAGCACCTCCAGCAGGCTGGAGGACTGAAGAAGACATGCCGATGCGGCCAGCCAAACTTTTCCCCGTGTCTCCTTGCAGGTAGCCCTCCAGCTCCGCTTCGTCCGTAACTGCCACGGCCGCGGCTGCAAGAAGCCGTGCGTTGACACCTCAAGGACTCGAGGACCCGGGAAGCTCAGTGGAGCCCGCCTGCGGCTTTGCATCGGAGGAGCGTGGCGCAAGGGTCCGAGCCATCGCCCGGAAAACGTCCTTCACACAAAGAAACCAGTGCGTGCAGGTACGCAGTTGGGTACAGTCAGTCGGCCTGTCGGCATGTCGGCCCGGCCTCGGCACTGCGCATGAGGACCATGCCTTGACCAGGCATCATCTGCTCCACGGATTCCTCGGAGCGGCACTGAGAGATGACGTGCAACGGGCTGTCAAGGGGCCGCATCGTGACTCCACCCGCTTTCCGGCAGAGCTCCATCTCTGCCGTCTTGGTGGCGCCGAAGACACCAACTCCAGCCAGTCGTTCCAACTCGTCAATCAGAAACTGCCGGTCCTTTTGGACGAGGAGGCTTTGGGACGCACTCATTTCTCACTCGGCGACTACAGTCCTCGCGGCTGCTGCGACGCATGGACTCCTCCTGGCAGATGACAGATGGCTGATGATGGCTGGGACGGCGCCGATCGACGAATATGTGCAGCAAAGCTTCCAGCTGAGAACGAGCATCATCGATATCCACCGCTGTTGTAGTGAGGCCTTGGAAATTTCTTTGACGCGGCTAACGGCTAACACGTTCGCAGACTGCCGTGTCTGCGGAATGCATCATCCAGCGAGTGGAAGCAGCCCTTAGGCACTGAGTGCTGCTCTGTAAACCTCTTCTTTGAAGCGTGTGTACTCTGTGAGCCTCAGGGAGCAGGGAACACCTGACGCAAGTGGTCTTGCCGGCCCAACTTCGGCATCAGATGAGTGCAGGCGAGAGACTGTCCCAGCAAGCCACGGCCGCAACGGAAGGAGATGTAGGCCACGAACGTGTCTAAGCGCCTCCACTTTCCGCATGGCTTGTGGCGACGAGCCCGCACTACATGACTTCACCCCGTCCTGTCTGTGGAACCACGTAGATGCTCTTTTCGGAGAAATGCTCGGAACACAAACAACTGCCCGCACATGGTCCTTGGCTGAAACAAGACTTGCCTTGAACATTGCCTGAGGCCGCTTCTACCAGACCATCCACTGAAGTTACACCAAAGGCACTTGCCACAGACGTCGCAACACCATTTCCTCAGGGTGGAAAATTGGTGCTTGACATACCACCGGCTCACAAAATGAAACAAATGAAGCAGCATCGACGGGGTGCACAAGAGAGAGTTCGTTCCGGACTGCGGCCAAGTATCCCAATCATTCCCGATGTGCGCACTACGGGAAGCATCTTTGTGGGATCTCCTGGGCCATGAACTGCAAAATGAATCCGGTTTTGCCGCTGTCGGACTGACAGAACACTTGCCACATCTTTACGGCCAGTATCTTGTAAAGCGGTTCCCTGCGGTCTCCGCAACCCAGTTGTACTTGGCGCGGTGGGCTTTGGCAATCGGAGCATCTGGGTACTCCTTACCTCAAGATCCCGAGTGGCTTCGTGCACATGCCGTTGCTGCAGTCTGCCAACAGCACTCAAAGCCAAGCAACGAATTTCGTCACTTTGTGTTTCGAAGACTTCTCCCTGCACCAATTCCTTTCCTGCTCACGGAGGAAAAGGGAGCATACCCACGGACATGCCAGAGACATCGGCAGCCAGTGAAGACCACTATCAAGCCTTTTCTCACAAGCCGGATGGGCGTTGGATCCACAGAGCTCGTGTGCCAGCCGATGACGACCTAAGGACTGGAGGAATGCATGCAGGTGCTCAACGCGCTTTTGAATCTGAACTTGCTGATGCCAGGCTGAGGCCTTTTGTCGAGCAAACGAAAGAAATTCCATGTCTGCGGCGCCACCCGCTAATACAAAGAACCTTAATCACTCGACTAGACCAGTGACTGGATCTGCACGCTGGGAAATTGTGCCCAGTTCTTGAGATTATCCGCGGTCAAAGCTTAATATTCCTGTTTGCATAAACAGGCACTCGACGCATGCGCCCGCCTCGTCCAAAGCAGCTGCCTCCGCATAGCGCCGTCGCGCCTCGCCGTCGGCAGCGACGGCCTGGGACTTCCACTTCCCTACGGTCCCGCAACACGGGTTCACCCCTGGACTTGCTCTGGGGTGTGGGATTCTGTGGGGCCCATCTTGTTAGGACAGGCTGGCCTGCTGTTCTGGATTCCAGCTGCTGCCATCGAAGCATGACTAAAAAGACTCGATCTTGCACAGCCCAGTCGCTGGCAAAACCGGGCCACGCGCAACGGCGCGAGGGGTCTCTGCAGCCACGCCTTGGCCTTGTCAACTCTGAAGGCAGTCTGAGGGCCTAGAGAGCACACTAAGCTATGCAGGGCATCTAGCATAGACTTAGATGATTTTGGAAGCCCGTTGCTGCCTTCTAAGTTGTTTGGGGCCCACGACATTTGATACAAAGGTTGCTTTAACTGTTTGATACATTCTTCAGCCGTGTGAGGCATTCTTTACATTGCTCGAAACAGTCATTATAATCTCTGATCACTGCTCCACAAGCGTTACCGTGTTCATGTGCCAACAAAAAACAGCTCCGCTGCACGCGTCATCATCATCGTCGTCATCGCGGTCCTTCCCACTTGTTATGTCCGTTGGCCCGAAGAGCCCATGGCATGCGCACGTCGCAAACTCCCAGGCTTGTGAGCACGAACTCATGTGGTAGAACCCAGCAGACCGACGGTTCAAACCACGAGTGCATGACCATACCCAGCCAGGCAACACCCAACGATGCAACCAGAGCTCAACAGATTGGATGTGACTTGCCAAAGGCAGGCAGGGCAGCGAACATAACAGGCCAGTGTAACAGAAGGAAAAAACAGCGCGATCTGCCAACATGCTTGGTAGGATCGCGAGGCCATGATGAGTTGGCTTCCCGGCTGACACCGAGCATTCGAAGCCATCCACTTTGCGTCAGCAACACTTGTCATTTGTCAGGCAATGCCCAAAACGATGCCCCATGGCAAAGCATGCCAACATCTCGGGTTGGTCTGCAAAGATGGTTTCGGGTCAAGTGTCTTGCATCCAACACATTGAAACCTAGAAGGCAAGGCTTGATCTCGCAAAACCCGGTCGTCGTCCTGAAACCGCCCTCGAAGGCGCTTTCATTGTGCCAAGGCACGCCGGCCGCCCGTTCGTGCTGGACCTGCTCTATTCCGTCCACTTCAGTTGATTCCGTCGGAGCCGAAGATAATCCCAGCCAAGCTAAGTCCCCCAAACCCCGAGTCGACCCCTCGCCCTCGCCCTCGCCCACCGTCGCCCACGCCTGCGATCTGTTGCGCCTTGGGCGCCTGCAGTAGGTCAGCAAGGACGAGGTCCTTCGAGCTCGTGCCTTTGGGCTCACCTCACCACACGACCAACAAAAGGCGCGAAGCCGTTAAATATTACGAGATTGGATCCACAGAGATCAAGCCGGGAGGCTGGGGGTCTTCGCGCTCCGGGCGCGCTTCTTGGGAGGCTGCTCCGCACCATCACCTGCCCAAACTGACAGAGGCTCCGTCTTCAATTCAGACCCTCCTGGAGCCGAAGAAGAAGCTTCTGAGACATCGGCTTGGAGGCGCGGCCGCACCCCGCGGCATGGCTTGGGAGGCTAAGCCACGGCAACCCTCAACATCGAGCTTGCACGGATTGTCAATCAGACCATAAGTCTTGGGGACAGGACCTCCAACCGTGCCATGTTTGGGAGAAGTAACCAGCTCTATGTCTGTACCTGTTAAGCGCAATGCAGATAAGGGCAATGCAAAGTAAAGCTGCTTCGATGCTCAAGCTTCCACGACCCCGAATTGATATCTTCCAATGCCTACTTGTTGCACGAATGGTGCCTCCTGAAATCGAGCGGGCGAGTAGTGCCAGTATCTGAGGAAGGCAGAACCGTGCCCACCCGGATTCTGTGCAGTGCAAACAATGGCTTCACCTGCTTCACGCCACTGACATGAAAACCGCCTCGCCCCAGAACGGCATCTGGGCACCCTGCGCATTGGTCACGATGTTTGCCCAGGATCGCTTGAGGAAGTCGTTCACCTGCGTGCTCCGGCCAATTGTCTGCACGGCCCTCCATCTGCAGCCTTTATTCATGTAGCACTGCAGCTGGATCCCACACCCCCTGAGTTGATGCCACCGCATGCTCTCCTGAATCACAAGCTTCTGCTCCGACCTGTGCTTCCAGCTCAGGCTCGGTGACGTCAGACCTGTTCGTGAAACGACGGAGCCAAAAACATTACGTCAGACGGTATAAGTAAGGCCATAAGGCCCTGTTATCCACCACTCTTGCCGCAGAGCCCTTTCTGTAGGTCTGGCGGTGCTGCGCAAATTGCAATGCTGCTCACGTCCCAATTGTGAACCAGCTTCCGAAAGCTTTCAACTGGCCCTGGACCACACGACAAACCCTGCACCCAGATGTCTATGGTCATCCTCAAACTGTGACTGCAACATGGCCACTTTGCCCCAAGCGGCACGATACCCGCAGCGCGATTCCGCTTGATGGGTGGATCACGACCGAGCTGCCGACGATCGCCTAGCTGCCAGAAGGCGCCGAGCATCGGCGCCTCGGTCTGCACATGGGATCAGCGCTGAGTTTGCAGAGCTTGGGCACTGTTCAGTTTTTGCCGATTCAAGCCCCCGTTGCTGGCATTCGACCGCGCTCCTGCCAGACTCTGTGGCTGCCATTTCTCATGCTTTGTTGTTCTCGGTGTGCCGTTGTTTGCCGATCGTATGCTGTGAAGCTTGATGAGATACAACAAGGTGCTCTTCTGGAAGGCCGACCTCTCAATTCCTTGTCTAATGTTGATTCGCTTGGAACATGTTGTCGTAGAATTGGCAACAGCCCGGCGACATTCCCAAAGAAGTCCTTGACAACAGCCCTCAAAGGAAAGCACCTTCCCAGGCCTCGCTGGAGCACTGAGAGCTATCTGGGAGTCTGAGGCTTGATGATCCCAAAACTCACAGGACATGTCTGAGTGCAGGACGCAGTGTTGAAAATGCCTCTTCACTCGTCAACTCCGACCTCAGCAGCATCCGCACCCACGACAATCTAAGAGCTCAAAAAAACCACAGCCCCGCTTCCCCTTCAAACTTCCCCGCCAGAGCTGCCTGAGGCGACGCCCAGAAACGTCTGCTCCAGCTTGGCCAGCCTCAGAACTCTGACTTTTGTGATTCTTGTGGTTTTTGTGATTCGTGTCTCCTCAACACACACTTCCGAGCGACTTTTCCCCAGATGCCGCCTGTCTGACTCACTGTTGCCCTCCCTGGGTCAGCAAACCCAAGTTTAGAGCTGCAGGCGTGCACAAGCTGCATCGTCACATGATGCACCCAGGCATGAAAAGCTTCAGATCTGCGATTTGCAGACGAAGGCCTCCTGTGCCCTACTTCTGGCCTAGCATCACCGCGGCTCGTCATTCTGAGAAACTCCCGTCTTCGTGTTGTAGTAGTAAATGGTTCCTTGGCCGATCGCTGGCATTCCGGAAGCTCGCGTCGGGAAGAAAAGTACCACGTGCGCATTCGTTTGTACACGAACAGAGGGGGGAGGAGAACAGGCACATGTGGGGGATCTGGAACTTACCCTTTGCAACCTCTTGTGCAAAGTCGGGTCAGTGCGAAAATGGAATCAAGTGGCGCTGGCTTTTGGACTTGATCCTGATCCAGTCAGGCGGAAGTGGACGAAGATGCCCGAAAAATCGGTCTTGAGCTCGCATCCTCGGTATCGCTTGGCTGCCTTCTGCTAAACATGGACCTACCAGGCAAAATGTTCCACACACATGGTCATGTAGCAGCTATACTGTGCACTGGACCGAGGTAGGCACAAAGTCACATCCACTCATCTTCTTCTGTCACTAGCGGACTTCTATTTTTCTGTCAGGGCTGTTTCTTGAACAGGCCCCAATGCTCAGGGACTGCGAGGGGACGTACCATGCATTTCTGAAGTCGCAGAAGACCGCCGTACTCATACTGGTTTCATTACAAAACAATCACGAGCAGGAAGAAACGGGATGGCTTCCCGGAACGAAATGCAACGAAAGAGCCACTCCTCACGGGTGGTGGGCTCGCTGACCTGGACGAGGGCAGTCACCAGTCTCCCCTCACTGAGGCACGAACTAGACCCTCCGCCTGGACCGCACTGGCCTACTACAATTTCCAGGCCTCAGGAAGTGCCGGAACCGGCTCTTCGCGCCGCTGCCGCTGGCGAGGGGGTTCCTCCAACTCCGAGCGGTCAGGGTTGTCAAGGTGAGGAGCTCAGCCAATTGCAGGCATGGTGCACTCGGCTCCGGCACCGGCTCTCTCCAGCGCCGAGCATCGGCTTTTGAATCCTCACTCTTAGAGTCCTGCAGCCGAGCCATGGAACACTTCAAGGCTGCGAGAACCTTGCCATCCATGCTCCTCGTTCCAGCCGCCTTTGCTCCAGCCGTCTTTGCCCCAGTCCCCCTGCCAAACCGTGAAGAATTCACAGCACTTTTGCACACCCCACCCGACATTCCCAACTGATGGCCTTGCTCCAGGAACTTGTGTCCCAAGCTCCCTTGCCCCAGCTGCCTCATCCGAGCTACTTCTGGGCGAAGCTGCAAACACCGTCATTCTGAAGCGCGGCTAGAAGCACTTTTCAGCAGGATGCCCACAAGGGATGCCCACAAGAGAGTGCTCGAAGAATGTGAGAACCATGAGTACGCCCCCAAAGTGGGTGCTTCTCTGTTGTTTCAGCAGTTTCCACTCCAAGCAACCTTTCCAGGACCACCAGTCCGGAGACCACCAGTCGCCGCCTAGCCGGCTCAGAGTCCCTGCAAGGCCCTAGTTTCCTCCCGTCCAGGCAACGGCCTTTTCCTTTCCAGCCCTTCGAGGACCAATCCTTCCCCTTCTTGCCTCGGTAGCAGTGAGCTACCTGGCTGCGCAGCCTGAAGAATTATCCTAAACCTGAAAAGCTGCCTGCAGCTGAAGCTACCCCAGCCTTTGTCACTTTTCCATGTATCATCCGACTTCTGTCCTGGCCAGAGTAACAGGCAGCGGAACACAGCTCCCGAAGAACCTCACAAGGATTGAAATGCACTGATCGGAACCGATCTGGGAAATTGACGTCACCCAGATCGTGCCACAGTAAGTGTTTGGCACGTTGAAGATGCCTCGTCCTTGGCCTCCATCTGAAGAGCTGGTTGCCTTGCCTGGTGAGTGTAATCAACGGTCGCACACCCTCTTGAAGCAGCCAGCTTCGTTCAAAGAACGTTCTCAAATTAAGCATGTTTCAGCGCACTCTGCTGGAGAGACCACGCCGCCTCTAACCTCCGGCCCGCTGCTGGCATAGAAGTGCATGCCCTGCCTTTGCCTTTGAGCCAAGCTTTCCCCTTGCTCATTCCAATGTCTTCTTCTTCTTCTTCGTCCTCGTCGTCGTCCTCCTCCTCGTCATCCTGCGCCCGAGTCCCAAGCCAGGATTGGACAAAATGGAAAACCCTGCTGAAATCATCTGGTATCCAACACGAAACATCTCTCCCACCATCCGCAGCAGCATATGCCACACAGCCGGTAAAATGAAAGGAAGACCAACCAGGCATTGACCAAACCACAAGCGAGCGCAGCTAGCCTCTTCCTCGGGCTCCTTCTTCTCTGAGGCTACTTGGCCTTTCCCCTTCCCTGTGGAAACAAGACAACAGCTTCCACTGCTTCCAATCCGAACTTGCTCGGGATTGCCTGAGAAGTCCGAGGCGCCTTTACTCTGGCCCTTCGCAGGCTTGTCTGCAGGCTTGCTCTTGGACTTGTTCTTGCCCTTTCCCGACTGGCCGTTCGCTTTGCCGCGACCTTTTGCTTTGGCCTGCCAAGCCTTTCCCTTGGCCTTGACAATCCTTGGCCACACGAGGTAGAGAACTTTGGCAATGACAAAAGTGCAATTGTCGGTTCCAGGGATTTCAGTGAGACGGTCCCAAACCCCAGTGGGCTGGCTTCGCAAACGGTAATTAACAGCGGCCCAAGTGAGCAAAAAAACGCCTAAACCCTTGTGGCCTCTCCTCAACCCCTAGGCCCAGAGCTGCCAGCCGCTTCGGAGTTCGGATTTCGGCTCAGGCTCGGTAGCTCGTCCTCCTCCGCCTCCACTTCCACCTCACAAGTCCGCTGACCGTGCTCTGCTCTTGAGCAGCACACGGCACTAGAAACCCACGTACCTTCACATTGCGAGTGGGAACGTCAGAAACATCCCCGCCTCAATGTCAACGTCATCTTCGTCAGCTGCATCCACCGAGTTGACCTTCTTTCCGGTGCCTCACTTGACGGCTGCTCTCATGTCACCACGTGCGGCACTCGAAAGGCCGGGATCCTCACCATCCTCTGCGGGAGCTTCCTCGTCTTCCACTTCCTCCAGATCGTCGTCCCTGAGAGCCGTCTCGGGCGCGCTTCGCTTCAAAACGGTGAGACAGAACTGCACGCCAAGAACACTTCGGCGAGACAGCCAAAGCGGAAAGTCTCAAGTGCGGTCTGAGAAAGAGCGCCATCAAGCCAAGCCACTCCTTCAACATGTTGGCCAATGCCTGCAAGCTCGCACTGCTACGCTCTGGATGCTCCGAGACATGATAGATCATGATAGAGAAGCTACCAAGTGAAGCCAGGTAACTGCGAGAGCAGCGTCGCTCTCATCCTCGTCTTGGCACGAAGCACCTGAAGCACGGGCGCCGGCCGCCCGTCACAGCATCCCCCAAGAGAAAATACTAAAAAGGACTTCGATCTTTGACGTCATGGAGCCTGCTTGGCGCTTCAGCGGTGCCCCCAGCAAAGCAAACGCTCCACCTCGCGACCCGAAGGCCTCCTCCTGGCACACTCTTATCAACCGCCTCGGGAGAGTGTCCCAAGCCCAAGGAGATGGGAGACGGCCACGGCCGACAAAGTCCGCGACCCAACAGCAGGAAATAGCAGGAAGCTCGCTGTCAAGCGCAACTGATCAAATCGCGTCCTCCTCGAAGGTTGCGGGGTCTTCCTCGGTCATGCATGTATGCATGAAGCTGCCTAGACTCCTAGACTGCCTAGTTGTAGTAGAGTGTCCAAGCCATCCAGGCTGTCATTCGTGGACATCTGCACTGGAACGGTGTCTTGTGTGGGGAAGTTGCGCCTCCTGGCAAATAGGTTGGGACTTGCCAAACTAGCATTGTACCTGTTGTCCACATTTCTCGTTTCTGCTGCTTGTGCACACGTAACTCTTCTTCACTGCCATGACGAACCAGTAGCATGGAAAAACATCTGGTTGGGTCAGGTCATCGCGGCAACCATGTCATGAGTTGCTACTTGTTGCTAAGGCCTTCTTCAACAGCTGCGGTCAAAGAGCTAGCCAGACAAGTGCTTCGCGAAGTCACAACATGCTTTCTACGAGCAGCCAGCTTCCCCGTGCTCTTGCGACCAGAAAGCTGGGCACAATCTCAAGTGTACATGGGTCTCTTGACTTGGGCTGCTGCCTGGGTCTCGTAGAAAGTGGACTGCGCAGTTGATGCCAAGAATGCTGGCATCACCTTTCACACGAGGCCCTGTCCGCAAAATCAACACATGCTTGTGGGTGGAACACTCGAGGAAAAGTCTCGGCCTGACTGGTCACACCATCTGGCGAGACAGAAAAGGCCTTCCTGTGACCGACGCAAAACAATGCGGGATCTTCTGCGATCTTCTGCGTGGAGTGTGGAAACGATGTGACGCGCGTTGCCTCTGGTGCAACCGCTGCAAGGCTTGGAAGGCCTCGAAATCCCACAGAACAGAATATCTTCCATGCATCTCGAGGGCTGGAAGCCTCAAGCCGCTCGCTTGAAGCTGGCTGGGAAGTGTGCCTCAGCTTGCAGGTCACGAGCACATGCTCATGCGAGGCATCAGGCGATGAAAAATCCTTCTTGCAAAAACCCAATGCTTGGCCACACGCCAGTGCTCTGAACCGGGAAGTTGCTGCTGAATCTTCACGGGAGCCTCATGCGAGGCTCCCACAAAACCCCCTTCCGTACAGTACACCTAGCATGCTATAAGCAGCCTCCTCGTCAGAATAATCGACGAGGTCCTCCTGCGAAAGAACCTGCTGCACATGCCATAAGGCTACCCTACTTAGCACGACACGAATCGACACACGAATGTCGTGATTCGTAGGGCTTCATTTTCTGACATCTATCGTTTAGGACGAGTAGCAACATGCAACGATCATCAATGGATGAGCAGAACAAAGATTTCCAAAGCTGCAAAAACATCCGCGAAGCACGCGGCCACCCGTTTTGCCACGACAGATCCAGCACACGGCAGAAAAGCAGGTAGACAGCGCCTGGCTCTAACAATCACGCGCGCACACATGGTGCCGCTTGTGCTTCTGGCAATCGCCCCGGCACATCTGGCTGGAGCTCGGCTGCCTGTCTGTCGCCTCTGCCAAGACTCGCTCTACGTTTCTCGTTGCTTTGCTGCACATCTCTCAGCCGTTTCTGGCAGATTCTTCCCGGTCCGTGGAGAGCTGGTTCCTCGAAGGCCGCCTATATAGTCGACAGTCGCTTCAAGCGACCCGCTTCAAGACACTGTTCCAGTGCTTGCCAACATTGTAGCCGAACATGTCCAAATACCTGATGGAACATCATCCGCCGAAGCACAAAGGACATCACTGAACATCACTGAACCGTAAACCCAATTTGGCAGGACGCTTCGTGTCACAACGGTACTGCTCACCGTGCGTGCGGCCTCGGGATGAAAAAGCGTGAGCAAGGAATCCACACTTGCTTCCCCGCAGGTCCCTTCCAAGCACATCTTTCCTGTGTTGTCGCCGGGGTGCAGAAGTTTGCCAGGGCCTCAGTTTTGGTTCTCAAGTGTTCGATGCCTTCTCTCGTGAGTCTGCGTTCCTCCTCGGCTTCCTCCTCAAAGAGTCAACTGAAAGCCAACCGGCACATTCTAGGGACCAAAGAAGAAATGACTGGCCTAGCGTGGTCCTCATCGAGGTTGGCTTTGAACCAATCTTGCATTTGCACGCTTGTGTCCTCCACCTCACGATGCGCGATTCTCTTAACTGGATCTGCAAAACAACAAAGTGCTCATGCATGCAGCCGCTTCGCCACCAAATAGTCGCCGGTTCTCAGAATCTCGTGCAACCGGCGAATAGTTGTCGCACAATGCTGGTGTGCATCTTCGGACACCAACCTCAAACTGTGTCTTGTATGTGACAGGAAATTACAACTCACAAAAACCCAAAAAACATCAAAAAACATGGTGACATGGACTGTAGCCAAAAGCACCACGGGTGCGGCAGCTCCGCAACAAAAGCGTCAGTGAACAAGTCCTCGTCCCATCATGCCACGACATTGTTCGCGCCTGCCTTCAACCTGGCCTCGATCCCTGCGAGGTTATATGATCCAGCCAAACAATTTTGCCTGCCTCATCTGTTCTCCGGTTGTCACACTCTCGCAAAGCTGTCCTCGAAGCGCTCGGTGCTACATTCCTGAAACATCTAGACCAGCCAAACCACAAGAGCATAGCTAAGAACCGGCTAGGCGTTTTCAAGGCAATCGTTTGACATGCATTGCTCCGTGTACTTGACAAGGCTCGTGAAAAACGATTTTGGGATGGGCCCGAGCTTTTTCACCTCAGATCTGTTACAAGATGTTGTCCACTGTGCTTCACTTTCTGATCTTTCTGTGTCAAACACCGCCTTTCAAATGCCATCTCCACACGGCTGCGAGTGCCGAGACTTAGGCGGTCGCACAGCACGTACCAAGTTCAAACAGCTTGGAGAGGCGTGCAGTTATGCAAAACCACCTTGCGTGCGCCAAATCGGCGGCTCTTCGACTACGGACCCACGATGGAGGAGCTATCGCGCGCCTACGCAAGCAGCTCCCCACACACTCGCTCGGCGACGCCCGGTGTGGTGTGAGCTTCTGAGTCGTCACAGGAATACGCGCACTACCGTATCAAGGTCAACATCACACGTCTGCACGAGTTTTTGGTTCGAACGCCGCATATCCATTTAAATAAAGCAGTCCGGTACCGGTGAGTCACCGGGCTTCAGCGGGCATCGCATTGCCTAGTTAAGCTTTGCACACTCTAGGCTTACAATGTTTTGTGCGGCCTGGGTTTGCTGCGGAGCCGGTGCAGCAACGGTCTCGCAACAAAGCTCTGTGGGGAAGCCTGCCCGATGGACATTGGCGGCGGCTGAGCCCGCCTTTCCAAGCACAGGTAGCATGTAGGCATACAAAGCATTGAAACTCGTGAGGACCTGCTGAGCTTCAGCAGGAAGGCGTGCGTGCGCACCGGCGGTTGCAGAACCCAAGCCGACCTTCGAAGCCGAGCGCGCTGCCGAAACAGTTGCGGCCGGCATTGGCGAGGCAACGTTTCCGTCCAGCAGCGTGCTGAAGCAGGGTTCAACAGCATGATCATACTCCTGAGCATCCTGAGCGGTGGGGCAAACCGGAGAAAATATTCTTATTTTGTCGGTGAAACATTCAGCGCAAAGTCGTGCGACGGGGTCGTGCGGCCCATTGTGATGTGCGTATCCCGCGCTCAGCGCAGCGGGAGGCTGCTCGGGCCAGCTGGCTCAGAGAGCGCCAAAACATGGTCCCATGCAGGCTCGCACCCTGCGGCGGGCTCCCAGGGCCGTGCCGCCAACGGCATGCTGCACCACGGCTAACAGCATGCCCCACCACCTGCGCGGCTAGGCAGTGGAGGCCGGTGGCGCGCGGAGAGCCCGTACCGGACGAGCTGTTGGACAAGCGCGTGCGAGTCGGCGTTCCAGCGCCCTGCGACCTCCACAGCAAGGACAAAGAGGTGTTAGCCACCGCCGCGCTGCAGCTCCGTATATGTTGTGAGCTTGCAGCTTTTGGGCATTCGCAAACCCGAGCCGGAAGTATGGCCCGCTCGCGAGTGAGGGGTGCTCGCTCCGGTGATGGGGCATGATGGGGCTAACCAGCGTGGCATCGCAATAGAGGGCGAGGCCATAAGGCGAGGCGCCGTACACCGCGAGGTCGAGGCGTCGGCGGTCTGACGTCGGAACTCCTGGCGCCGACGTGTGCGACAGCCACTGCTGGTGGACAATGTGTCCCTCCGCTCCCACGCACGAGTGGTAGCACAGGTCAGCACACAAGTTGTCACACAAGTATCGCAGACCCAACTCATCAGGCAACGTCACACTGACACACTTGAAGCGCGGCTGTTGCAAAAGGAAGCCAACTGAAAATCAATGCCGGAAACCTTGCGTGGGTGGCAACGTACTGCTGCGTCCGCTTGTGATGAACCCAGCGCGTCTTCGAGACACACTTCTCTCACCCCGATCTCTCGTCTCGTGCGCTGCTATCCTTTTCAAAGCAGGACCTCATTCGGCGCGTCCTGCTGCTCCGACGCCTTCGGCACCCCCTGCCTTTCGCTTCGCGCACATGCGCCTGCCGCGATCGCCTAGACCTGTTTGAACAGGTGTGCCGTGTACAGTTCATTGTTCTTTGGCCACGGACTTTTCGAAATTTCTCGAGTTGCCCAACGAAGCTTACTTGTTGACCAAACGGCCTACGGACAACGAAGGGCCAGTGGCTTTGGCTGGCGGGTGCCTCGTAGCGGAGCAGGATGTCGCAGGTTGCACTGGCCGCGGGAACCTCCAATAATTTCCTGTTGTCGACAATTGGATCAATGGGCATCGACCTCAAACCCGAAACACCGCCACCGCATGACACGGCCTTCGCCGTTGTCCGCGAGTACTCGCACCCGCACGTTCTCGTGAGCAAACGCCTCTGAACCTGTGGAGCCGCTCCACGCTGCGCGGGCCCTCCGCCCTGATGCCGTACCGCATAGCCTTCCTTGCCGAGCTGCTCCCAATCGTTAAGCTGTTTTAGGCTCAACCGTCGAAGGCAGCTGGAAAGATGTGCCGCAATGCGAAAGCTGCGAACAAGGCGATACTCTCGCGCCGGCGCTCTTCACGGCGCTCTTCATGCTCGGACATTACGAAGTTTTTTGCCGAGCAGCAGCCGCGGTGCATCCCGACGATGCCTACAGGGCTTGCCTCGACGACCTCTACATCGCCATGGTAGCCAAACGAGCGCGAGCGACCTTCGACAGCACGACCGGAGCTGTCCTGGCAAACAGCCGTTGGACGAGCGGGCGTCAGCCGAGTGTCCCGTGCCGCCAGCAGCGGTGGGGCTCTTCGCAGGATCACACAAGCACCGCGGCCCTTACGGGCATCCCAACTTCTGCGTGGTTCAGCTTTGACCTCGCTGCCGAGTCGGTGCGCCTGTGCCTTCCATATCTTACCATGCCAAGCGTGCCGGCATTCTTGGGAGCTTGCGTGCGGCAAGCGGTTCGTCCTCGCCTTGCCACATCTTGCGAGCCTTGCGAAAAGTGTGCACCCGTGGCACTGCCTCTCAACAAATGCGCGCGTGGAAGCTGTCCTTGTTCAGGACATTACTACACCACGCAATAACAAAAGGCTACTGCGAGGAATGCTGTGCGAAGCAAAAGCAGGCAAAAGCTGGAACATGCAAGAAGGTATGCACACTGTCCTTTTTCGGCTTGCCGGTAAAGCGACTGCTCAGAAGTCGGCTGTCCCGATCGGATCTTTGATCCGTCCGAGAACGTAAAGCAAAAGCTGAAGCAGCGGAGCAGTCGCAAAAGCCCGTATCGTCATGTAAGCGTATAAGCAGAAGAGCAACAAAGCTGAAAAGTAATTAGAGCAACAACAGCGGAAAGCGGCACAAGACTGTCTAGCGGGCTGTGACTGAAAAGCTCCCTGCGCTGAAAGCGTGCCCAAAGGTGTGGGCGGGTGGGAAAGTTTTTGAAAGCAAGCTGCTGTTGCGTGGTGTATGCTTGAACCCAAGCGGGGCCGCGGGGATGAGTAAGTCCGAAACAACCCTGAGTAAACACAGGAACCGTTCAGGACATTACTACACCACGCAATAACAAAAGGCTACTGCGAGGAATGCTGTGCGAAGCAAAAGCAGGCAAAAGCTGGAACATGCAAGAAGGTATGCACACTGTCCTTTTTCGGCTTGCCGGTAAAGCGACTGCTCAGAAGTCGGCTGTCCCGATCGGATCTTTGATCCGTCCGAGAACGTAAAGCAAAAGCTGAAGCAGCGGAGCAGTCGCAAAAGCCCGGGTCTGAAACTGGCAAGCCGAAACCTCGCAAACGTAGTGAAAAGGCCAAGCAGAAAAGTGAGGTGAGGAAGCTACTTGCGCTTTCTTGAACCGCGGTTTGTCGGGCCCAAGCTGTCAGCTGACGGAAGCTGCCATTTCAAAAATGTGTCAGCGGGAAAAAGCGTCACTTGAAAGCGGATCTGCCAGAACTCAGAAAGTGAGAGCTCGATGCGGTTCGAGGCCAGAAACTTGGCAGGGAGTTCCGCGGAGCCATCCCACCGAGAAAGCAGGTCTGCGTCGTCGTTCTTCTCGCCAGCTATATGGCTGCAGTCCAAAGTGACACCGGTAATCGAGCTCCACATTGAAAGCTTGCGAACGAAAAGGTTAAGTGGTACTTTAGAGGTGTAAAGCTTATTACACACAGACTCCGCACCACTATTATCGCTCAAAGCTGGTAATGTCAAGGCCAAGCGACCGGAACCATGGGCTTTCCAAAAGGCCAAAAGCACAAAGCACTGTGCCAATGTCTCGTAGCTGGAGATGTCCAGGTTGGCATCTGCTTGCATGGGTAGGCCTAAGTCCAGGAAGTCTTTGACTGTGTAGCGGTGAGCAAACCAAAGCAGGCGTCCGCTGGGGAGGAGTAGCCAACCTCCCACGCCACAGACATTGCCCTTGCCGAAAGCATCTGCGGCCGACTCCACCGAACTGGTAGGTGGTGGTCGAAGTGGCCTGGGCCGCCAGTCCCTGGAGCTCAAGTGGGCAAAGAAGGCAAGGGTTTCTCTGCTGGATTCACATAAGCGCCGCTTGGAGGAAGTGGGGTCCGTAACTCGGAGCCACATGCGCTTGGTGCTTACGGGGACTAGAGCCAGGTCTTCTTTACTTTTAAGAGGCTTATGCCGAGCTGAAAGCAGCGTTGAGCCAGGTGAAATGCCCGTGCCCGGGGGGCAACCTGTGAAGCGAAGCTTGTCGTCCAGGTAAGAGTGGATGCCTGGCCAAACAACTGGGCTGATGCTGACATTGGTGCCAAGTGGTCTATGCATGTCATCATACAGAGTGCATAGCCAGGGGCGTAAAGCAGGAAGACCATGCAGAATCCACTGAAGCAGACCTAGCAGTTTGTCAAGCTGTTTGCGGCTGACAAGTCGGTGCCGAAGGCATTCCTCCACCTGGACAAGTAGCTTCAAGCGTTTGAGCTCTGGTAAAGTGTAACAGCCAGCCTTGAAGTCGATCTGCCACCCTATCCAGGTTATAGACGGCCCCATCTGCAATTTCCGCCAACTAAGCGGTATGTTGAAGCAGGCGCAGAATGCCAAGACCAGAGAAGCGCTAAGCGGCAGTGCACGAGAATTTTGCCAGAGAAGCAAATCATCGACGTACAGCATGAGAACGTGTGACAACCAGATAAGTAGGTGAAGGCAGCGCACGAAAAAGCCCCCCAAGCGGGCAAACCAGTGGCTAGAAAAAGTGGTCCCGAAGGGACAGACACGGTAGAAAAAGAGGCGTTCTTGTTGTCTTAGTCCAAGCAGGCCTCTG